AAGTAAAGGAGGTTTCAAATTGTGAAAGTAGGCAACAGCTAACGAAACTTGCTTCCCAACATCCAGCTTATTGTGAATATGAAAGCGATCTTCGCAGTTATGAACACTACTTAAGCAGTAGTGAAAAGAAGGCCTGAAAAGAAGGCTCTAGAAGTCTGAAGACACTTGGCGTTTTGTATTTTAACATGCTTCACTGCGACCTCGGTTCTGGCCCACACGCCCCCGTACACGACACCAAAGGAACCTCGGTCAATTTCATCTCTCGCTGCAAAGTTAATTTCTTCCTTTTCCACAACAGGCAGTGGGGTGTAGTTCGCCTTGGCGCTTGTGTCGGAAGCAGAGACACTCGGAGGTTCCAAATCACTTAATTGCAAACCAAAACTGGCTCCGACGTAGTCTTTTGTTCCCCGCAGTGCACCTCGATATGATAATTACCTGGTAAAGAAGCTGGCAGACAGCAATGTTTGTTACCTGCTTTGATCTGGATTCCATCACGATACCACACGTACCATGCATTTGATTACATATAGCAGGATGATACAACTCCGCATATCAGCTGTTTGTCATCGTAACCCCAAACTTCAGATGGAGGGTGCACGATAAGGCTACTGGATTGCGCATCTGCGTGAGGAAACACTACCTTGAAACCTTCTTCAGACGTTGGGTCGTCACTCCGTTGAAGAAAGACTTTTTCACCTTTAGAAATGTCGACAACGTTGAAGCCATAGTCCAGTGGGTCAAAATTGGTTAACGGCATTTCTTGAATTATAAGATCTTGAAAAGAATAAACGTCGTAGGCACTGTGCTCTTGAGAATGACATAACTCTCATAACCACATCGGAAAATGACGAGTTTTTAACGCTTTCGTAGGTAATGTGCAGTTTATTACCACTGACAGTTTGATCAGGGAAGGGGCTTTTTCCTAGCTGGTTCTTTAACACTAGGAGGACGCTTTGGTTTTCTTCTTGTGCTGACGTCTTTGGTGTGCTAGTCTCCATAAGATGTTCGAAATCTCCAGATATCTGTGTTTTCCTAGCACCCATAAACACGTCCTGCGTTTGAAATGTGTCTTCGTCATTCGGGGATAAATCGGCTGGCTTTCTGCAAGCTTCTTCTTGCGAAGCGCCATTCGCTGATCCTAGACGTGAAAATCAGTTAACGTGAAATCGGCTGGCAAAAAGGCCCCGTGATTTTAGATACTCTTGAAAGGTGTAGGTTTTTTCATCAGTATCAGTGAATGTTGTTATCATTTCCTGTGCGTAGTTACCTAAATGCAAACACATATCCGGCGTTCTAGGGCACCAAACTTAGACACTTGTTCTGGGAAGAAAAACTTTGTGGCTTTTCCCTTAAGCAAATCCACCGAGATCTCATCGACATCACTGTACTTGAACTCACAGACGCCTCCACCGTCTTCTAGTCTTACTTGTTTAAAGCGAGAGTTACCTGAGGAACGGTGAAGCCAGCCAATGTGCATTTTTCGTTGCTTTACTGACTTCTTATCCACTTGAGTTCGGGCGGCGTGGGTTTTTCGTTTCTCATCTTTAGCTCTATTTTTTTCTGATTTTGTCGACTAGATTCCTAATTCTGGCCTCTTTTTGAACTGCGGAAAAAATTATTAATCACGTCATATTACATGCAGTTTTTTTTTCAGTAACAGAAAATCTGACGAAAGAGAAAGAGTTTATAACTGCAATGAGCTTTCTTTTGGGTGAGCAGCTCCAGTTGTCTTTCTATTCTATCGGCATCAGAGATTTTATTTAGTCCAGTGGTCCAAAATGATTTTAAAGTAATAAGGCACACATGAAAATCATTCCCTTCCCACTATCATGCAAAATGATCATAAGGGAGAAATACGGGGTTATATATGCAAATGATGTGAAGTAGGGTTTCCAGGAACCTTAAATTTTGTGGGGTTAGAAATACTACGTTTGTAAGCTTTTGGCAAGCTCCCCTAAAGGGGCAACATACCTTCTGATATCTGGGCTCCGCTGATTTCAGCTGTTAAAGCCTTTATCTTTCCTGCATGACCTATAGCCAGTCCCATGCTTTCAAACTGAGTATCTGAAATCATTTTCAAGGTATGCATACTGTTAACCTGTTAGAAAGTAATACAGGCGTCACTTTTAGCAGTGGAGGCGAATAGATTGTTCACCACAACAATTCTCCTTCATCATGCAGTGGATTTTATTTTGACATGGGTGCTTGTAATTTCATCTTTTTTGTCATCACACTTGTTATTCTCTTTGCCATCATTATTCAAATACACTGGCCACTAAGGACGTAACTTCACGGTAGCTATTTGATACATTTGACACATTTGACGCCTATGAGTCTCCCCTCAACAATTGAAATTTACCTCGTGTTGCTCAAATATTGGTTTTAACTCCTGCATAGCAGAATTCTTTAGGAAAAGGGCCAGCTGTGAGATAAAATGAAGATATTTACTATACGGCCGCTGCCACGCAACATTATGGTAAGAAGATAAAAAACTTCGTAAATCATTGCACACTCTTGTGACAAATGTTGCAATTGAAAACTACAGGCACTTGTAACATTTCAAGGCTAGTTTCTCTCAAAATCATTCACTGAAAAAGAACAAAAACTTTGTCAGTATCCACTACGAGGTAAATCATGCATATTTGTGTTGTAATTCAAAAAGAGGTGACCGCACTGAGTACTCGGGCTCGTTAAGGCATGGCTCAGGATGATAAAATTCCCCCCCGCGAAGTCAATCGCGCCTGGAGAAAAACATTTCAAAATGGCGGCAAAGATGGCGGACATTGTGGCACATCGAAGTTTCGGAAACTCTGTCGTTCTCTTATATTCTGAGGCTTGTTTGTGTTAGAGGTCTGTAATCACTTGGCAAGAATATGTAGGTAAGAAATTTTTTATCACTGCTTCCTTTTAAACGTTGTTTAAAGGTGTTGCTTGTTGCGCGTCCTTCGATTGAATTCAGTGTGAGTTCGATCAGACTAGATCATTGTTGACCGACAGGAAAGCTACGTATTACTTTCATCGCCGAGCAGGTGTTAATTTAGTTCCACGCTTTTTTAATTCAATATGTTTCGGACGAAGCGTGAGAAATTGAAATTGTTTTGTGTTGTTAGAGAATCTTTCTTTTGATCAGCGTAACCTGTGTTAAGGTCCAACTTACAAACGTGGAGAGAAAGGGACATTTGTAAGAAGAAAAGCATTTTGTTAGCTTAAGTTTAAATCATCTTTCGTAAAGGAATTTATGATTTAGTTCTGAAAAAAGAATTCTGGTGAACCATTGCCCTTTTATCAAAAGTCCTAATATGAAAGTTAACCATGAGAACTAACAATACAGTCATTACTTTCAAAATCACTTGAGTAGATTTAATTTTCTCGACATTATTCATCATGCACTTGGCAAATGTTACAGTTTGAGCTCATTTTGTTCAATGAATCCTTTAGAAGCATAAATAAATTGATGACTTAAAAATTGCTGTACAAAATTAAATATTGCAACATGATTAATCATGAAGATTTAGATATATGAAAAATTCACATATTTGCACTGCGGTGGAAAGATGAAATTAGAAGATCCTCGCAGCTAAGAACACTACTGAAACTAGTAGTTGTAAGTAGGACCTGAAAAAAAATTTCAGGCCCGTACGGGATTTGAACCCATGACCTCTGCGATACCGGTGCAGCGCTCTACCAATTGAGCTAACAAGCCAACTGGGAGCTGGTCAATGAATTGGGTACAAATAAACATCCGAGTGAATGAAGATTTAGATATATGAAAAATTCACATATTTGCACTGCGGTGGAAAGATGAAATTAGAAGATCCTCGCAGCTAAGAACACTACTGAAACTAGTAGTTGTAAGTAGGACCTGAAAAAAATTTCAGGCCCGTACGGGATTTGAACCCATGACCTCTGCGATACCGGTGCAGCGCTCTACCAATTGAGCTAACAAGCCAACTGGGAGCTGGTCAATGAATTGGGTACAAATAAACATCCGAGTGAATGAAGATTTAGATATATGAAAAATTCACATATTTGCACAAAAGCATAAGAAATTAGAGTAGATCCTGAAAAAAAAATTTCAATTTGAATGAAAGCTAGCCAACTGGGAGTACAAATAAACATGAAGATTTAGATATAACATATTTGCACTGCGGTGGAAAGATGAAATTAGAAGATCCTCGCAGCTAAGAACACTACTGAAACTAGTAGTTGTAAGTAGGACCTGAAAAAAATTTCAGGCCCGTACGGGATTTGAACCCATGACCTCTGCGATACCGGTGCAGCGCTCTACCAATTGAGCTAACAAGCCAACTGGGAGCTGGGTACAAATAAACATCCGAGTGAATGAAGATTTAGATATATGAAAATTCACATATTTGCACTGCGGTGGAAAGATGAAATTAGAAGATTCGCAGCTAAGAACACTTGAAACTAGTAGTTGTAAGTAGGACCTGAAAAAAATTTCAGGCCCGTACGGGATTTGAACCCATGACCTCTGCGATACCGGTGCAGCGCTCTACCAATTGAGCTAACAAGCCAACTGGGAGCTGGTCACTCGGATGTTTATTTGTACCCAAGATGAAATTAGAAGATCCTAAGACTCGGATGTTTATTTGTACGGGCCTGAAATTTTTTTCAGGTCCTACTTACAACTACTAGTTTCAGTAGTGTTCTTAAATTTCATCTTTCCACCGCAGTGCAAATATGTGAATTTTTCATATTTCTAAATCTTCATTCACTCGGATGTTTATTTGTACCCAATTCATTGACCAGCTCCCAGTTGGCTTGTTAGCTCAATTGGTAGAGCGCTGCACCGGTATCCCGTACGGGCCTGAAATTTTTTTCAGGTCCTACTTACAACTACTAGTTTCAGTAGTGTTCTTAGCTGCGAGGATCTTCTAATTTCATGATTAATCATGTTGTTGCTGTTCTTTTTTAGATTTCTACCATGCTACATTGCCTTCAGTTATGTTCCAGATCTACATACATGTAGGATACTCGTATTTATCAGTTGGATTGTTATACTAAAGTTCCTCAAAATGGTATGTATTAAATAGTTTTTTTGGTGCTTTTTCATGCTTACAGCACATGTGGAACCCACTGAAGACAGCTTTTCTTTGGACTTAATGTTGAGGACTGTAAATATTAATTATTTTCAGGGCTTGGAAAAATATTATGCAAATCACAAAATATCAGCACGTATTATATGTTAAAACATTGAATAATTTGAAGTGTTTATTTAGGAAGGTGAATGGTGATCTTCCATATTTTCAGTAGCTCAGTGGCAACTTTATTTTTCCTCCATGTTTTTGCTATAACTGGATCTTTTTTCATGTGGTTTTCTGTGGGATTTTTTTTGAAGACTTTGTTGAAGTTGGCTGACCACTCAGTAATTGCTTCATTTATGTCCTTGTATTTCTTTAGAACTTGTACTTGAATGTGTGCCAGGTGATTTAAGAAGTGTTCTTTGTGGTATCTTGAGCTTGAATTTTTTGTTGCATTTTTTTTAAGTTTTTCATATAACATAACATCTTTGGTTGTGCCAAGAATCTCTGAAAGAGCTTTTGCTGTTTTGCTGGATGGTAAAAAATCTTCAGATAATTTTGGTTTCTTAGCCAGTGGTTCACCTGTCTCATTTTGCACTGTTTCACTCAGCTGCTGTGGTTCCGGAATCTGATTATTTTCTAGGTTTTCAGTACTCTCTTCTTCATCAATTAATAGAGTTGTATCTTCAGCTTCTTCTTCACATTCACCATCACTCTCAAATGACTGATCTTGAACTGGCAGATTTTGTTGCATGCATTCTTCTCTATTATGGTTTTCTTCATTGGGAATTCTGGTAGCTGGGATTTTGATTCCGCTTTGAATGCATTCTTCCCAGCAGTGTTGAAGGAAAATTTTCTCCATTCTGATATTGGAGGAGCGAAAGTGGTGAAGGGAAGGTCCTTGCTCCCTGAATTCAATTTCCTCAGGACCATCAAAGAACTCAATGCAGTCTTCATCCTCAATTTCTCTCCACCAAACTCCTTCTCCCGGTACAAGGAAGTCAGCAATAGACTGAAGGTGAGCCTCCCAGTGCCTAGCATGTGTGTTGATGACATCTTTGGGTAAAACTGTGTTTCCCAGCTTTGGTAGGGCTTTGCTGATGTTGCTGATTTCCTTTTCTTGCCTGATGATGCAGGTCACAGCTGTGTTTCCTCCTGAAGTCTTCTCTGCTTGCATATGCAGAACTGCATTGCTCACTAAGCTTTCAACTCGGTTGTTCCAGGTCTTCCTGGTGATGTCGGTCAGCTCCTCAAACAACCTCTCAAACATTTCTGCATTAGTTGAACGGTGTGAAGCAAGACGAAGAAGAAAGGCAGAATGAGATACACATGCATGGAAGTATATGCCAAAGAGCTTTCTGCTTGTTAGGGCTCTAGTTGGGGTCATCACTTTACGGCACAAAATTGCATGCCTCCAACACAGGTTATGCAACCTTAATATCAACTTTGGTGACCTCTTTCTGTCCTGGCCATAAAAAATTTCCACCATTTCGCACAGGGTGGCCAGCAAAGCTCTCACATCATGGGTTGTTGTCTGGTAAAGGGCTATAGTTAAGTAGATTAGTGTCTTGCGATTATCTACTCCTCGTTTTTTCTCTTTGTTAAGTTGGACAGCTAGTATTTCTTTAAGTTTTATGAGTGTATCAATGTCAGAAATGTGATGTGGGATGTCTTCCAGAATGTTTTTAATGTGATTCATGGAGCAGTGAAGAGCTTCAAAACACAGTACCTCATAGGACTGGAGGTTGAGACTTTCCACAGAAACACTCTCATCCCCAAACAACAGTGCTGGAATTCTTGTTGCCCCTCCAAGTTCTTCATTTAAAATTTTTGCAAGTTCTGGTTTGGTCTTGTCTGAATCTCCAAGTCCTCTTGCTTCAATTTCAGCTCGTAGCTCGTTGACCTTGAGATCTTTTAATGGGTTCAAGAGTTGTTTTGCCTCTTTTCCTTTCCTTCCTGCTAACACCAGCTGTTGCCGTTCGGTCAATGTTCTGTACTTTCTTTGGGCCATGTAATCTAGATCGTGGCACATGCTTAAATGCCCATCACAACCTGGGCAACCATAATGCCCTCCATGCTGATTTCCACATTCAAAGTTTGCTGCAGGGTTGTCTCCATTCATGAATCTCATCTCATCTTCTACTTCAACATCCTCTTCTGTTTTCACTTTTTGGGTTAAATTTACTAAATCATCATGTCTGGCTGGAACAAATTTTATCTGATCTTCAATGCTGGAACTGCTCTGCCTATATATATAGAGTACAGTATATACAGATAGGGCCTCTCCACTGTTGCCTGGACATCCACATCTTTTCCATATTGAACTCTAGCTTCTGCATCAGAGAGATGAATTGCTGGGTCATACATCTCTCTCACACAAAAGAGCATGTGACCATAATTTGAAAGGGTTGAATGGTCATGCCAAATCAGCCAATGCCTCTTCCGCTGAAAGCTTTTCAGCCTTTGTTTGATTTCATCATGTGTTCCCCTTATATCCTCACTGATCTTTTCTAGCTCTGCACGAATCTCACTTTCACTGAGCTCTTCATAAAATGCATCATTTTTTATTCGAAGGAGGTTTTTGTTTTTAATCAATGCTTCTTTTCTAATGTCTTGGAAGGGAATTTTCCTTGCTTGCAAGTGGCATTTCTTCTGCTCTATCTCTCCCTGTGCATTTATAGCCAATTTGGTAATCTCTCTTTCTATCACTGGCTCTCCTATGTTAAATTTGCCACTCTCTATTCCCTCATGGATGCTTTGCTTGAGTTGTTTATTTGATTGCATCACAGGCACAGAAATTTCTCCCCCCTTTTGCTTCCTCATAGCTCTGCGTACCCTGAATCCTGGAAAATTAATCAAACCTTTTCTTACATGAGGCTAGAGAAATGATAAAAACCCATGAAAGTATTATAGGGTCACACATTCATCATTAACTTGACTTAGACTGTTGTATGCATTCTTATTACTTCAGGCCTTCTTCTTCTACTTTTAAATTCTAAATTTTAACTCTTAAATCTCACTGTTCTTTAATTAATAAATCAAATTTTGTTCAATCCTAATACACAATTTCTTTTGCTTATAAATGATATTGCAGAGATGTAACTCTCCACTGTCGGCTTAGTTACAAATTTACCACTTTTTTTACCTGTAAGGCCATCCTCTGAATTGAGATGCACTTCTGATGGGGGCTTAAATCTGGTAATGTCTACTTTTTTTGACTTCAAAAAGGCTTTGACTAATTGCCCTCCATTGCCAGGTGTCAAATCATTTCCCTTGGTTTTGATGTTGTACATTCTGGCTTTTTCTGACCAGTTTGGAGGACCATCAGGCCATGACTCTACATCTGCAAGTAGCTGGTCCAACTTTCCTTCTATGTTAGCAGGTGAAGCTGTGTGGGATCGTTCCCTGACCTTTGGTGGGGTCGTTTTTGCTCTCTCCTCGGCCTCTTCAAAGGTTTCAAAGGACAGGGCCATTCTTTGGACTTGTCTTGAACTGTAAGACTGTCGAAGGCTAAGGTGAACTGCACTGTCATTTTGTGACATTTTGGTCTCTAGTTCTTTTTTTGTTTGCCTTCGCTCATTTCTCTTCATTTTTTTCTTTTCAGCAGGTGAAGGCTTCTTTTGAAGACCCGCTTCAGGGACAAGCACTAGAATGTCACTTAGTGATTTTTGAAAGTTTTCCTGGCATTTTTCATTGTAAGTGGCATATATTGCTTCCCTAATGCTTTTTAATTTCCTTTTTGTGACCTTAGGTTCTCTCTGACATTGTCTCTTGACATTTGTGTTAAGTTCAGTCAGAGGTCCTTTCCTAGCCCCTCTGCAAAACTTACTTATAGGGAAGGTAGATTGTAATTGAGAGTTGAATAAAAGACAGGCCTGGCAGCTGGTCAACGAGTGATCTTTTTTCCCTTCTTTACTAATTACTTTGCCCTCATTCCAGTTCATTGAGGAAAATGCTTTTAGGTATGCTTCTTTTTCGGTTTTACTTCTCCAGTTGTAAAATTTTTCATCAATGGTTCTGTAATGCCGCATGAAGTCTTCCCGTTTTATGTGTAGCCCAGGGTATTCTTGAAAATGTTCATTGAAGATTTTAAATCTATCTTGCAGCAACCTAGCAGCAAACTTTGTATTTCCTTCACCGGGAATCCTTTCAGTTTTGCTTAAACTTTTAGTTTCTCTAAGAAACACTCTTGCCCAAGCACATTCAATCTTTAAAGACATCTTTGTTGCCTTGGCAGAGGATATGGGATTTGATATTGTGTTCTAATTAAACACAAGTTGGAACTCTCCACGCTGCTACTTGAACTAGCTAACTGCTCGAAATTTAAGACAAATTGCGCGCCAAAAACTAAGGAGCTCATGTAACATGTAATACGAGCCGCGTTTGCGGACCACTTTATTCATTCATCAACTAATATAAAGTCTACGAAGGTTTGAATGGACCATTGCCATTCTTCATCGATTTTTTATTAAAGAATTACGGAAATATTAAGAAAACACTACCTTGAAATGTATTCTGTAGCCTAGAAGGACACTGTAAATGGCTGTTAGGCACCCTAAAGTTAAAAACGACCCAATTTAATCTTAATTCGAGAGCTCGAAGAATCCTCTCCTTCGACCGCCATCTTGAAGTCTGCTTTTTAGTCCATAGTTCATTTCACCATATCCCCCAGAAAAAGGGCATAAATACAATTGAATTCTTCCCCAGGGGAGAGGGATTCGAAGTTTCTGTTTCAGTCTCCCAAAGGCCGTGAAACAAAATGGCGTCCGAATCGGAACATTGTCAAGTGACGACCTATTTCGCGCCATGGGGGAAAGAAAATCGATTCAAGTGTGAAAAATTTTAACATACGTTAGTTCTGCTGAACTTCTTCTTCTTCTTGTTTTAGCCTTGCAATGTTGACCCCAAAGCTCGTAACCATTAAGAATTTAACGTAAAGACCCTCCAAACTGCTGCCGTGACGATTTCCTGACTTTTACCTATTCATCCACGGACATATGGCTGATGCCGACGCCTTTGCAGGGCTAACTCTTACGAATTAACTATTCCTAAATACGGTTTGGGCGAACTTGATTCAAGTCTTGAAGATTTGGTTTGCCCCATTTCAATTCAAAGTAAGGTAATTAATTTGGGCGTCGTCAAGGGTGACTATAATTTAATTATGGTTGCTATGGCAATGATATTGCATGGAATGATACATAATTTCCATAGTAATAACCTCGCCGAAATTTGTTAAATTTGATCTTCTACAACGACCCGGAATGAAAAAATAATTTTTTGGCCTCGTTTTCACGTTGTAACCATGCTTTAACGTGCCTGAGTAATAAATGACAAATCTCCTGACATCGTCATCCATGTTGGTACACAACAACAAAGAATGAAAAATTGGAAGACTGGTACCCTGGGATCTGAAGTCTGAAGTCCTAATTCCGAAGTCCGAAGTCCGAGGTCCGAGGTCCGAGGTCCGAGGTCCGAGGTCCGAGGTCCGAGGTCCGAGGTCCGAGGTCCGAGGTCCGAGGTCCGAGGTCCGAGGTCCTTCATTGACGTTATCAGTAAGTCAATGATATTTCGGATGAAACCGTTTTTATCGAGCTTCTGAACTTTCAGTAGCTTCATGATCAGTTATTGAAAATGAAAGTAAGCTTAAGCTTATATTTCACAATGGTATATTTGCCTATCTCCTCAAACCATATTTTTTTTACCTTCAATTTTAATAGTTTTTAGCCGCCCGTAAGTTGTAGTTTCGTCGTCTTAAAACAATGAATCGCTTTATCACGTTTCCTAGCTATGGTTCTCACTGTATAGACTGTCAATGTGCTGTTACCTAAAAATTATGCATTTTATCTGTATTTTTGTTAATCTTTTTGTCTCAAATTCTTATTTATCTTGAGGTTGTAAAATTTCTAATAGTTGCGGCTTAACCATGGTAAGAATTCTCCATTTAAAGTACAGCACATTTCACATGAAGAAACCAAAAAGAGAAAAACTGGTTAATAGCAATTTGAACTCCCAACACGAGGTCTGATTACAAGAACAAAAGACTGCTGTCGTTGAGAACCGCTTCACTGTTCTCGTGCAGATGATAAGGACGGAAAAGTATTTCATCGTGAAATTTGTGGGCCATTTAACAAAACCTGCAGTTAAGCGTTAACCCCGCGTTTACACTAACACTTGAGTTTTTAGAGGATATTTTTTGGTCGCCCTTTTCTTCGATTTTTATCTTGTGCATAATCTTTTTTACACGGTTGTTTCCCATTACAAGGCTAAGCCAGTTCAAACGGGCTCAAGGCAGCAATTTGAAGCTGCTCAAAAAGAGGTCCTAGCTGTTTTAGAGGCCAGTGACGATGGTCCTGTTGATGTTCAATAATGCTAATAAACTGCTCTCAATTTACATTTATGGTCATTTTAACTCTTTTGTTGTTTTGTATGTGGCTGACGACGTTGACGATGATGTTGACGACGCCATTTACCGCACGTGCTGTGCTCTGAGCCCACGGTAAAAGTCGCAACAAAAGAGTCGCGGAAAAAAAGTCGCGAAATTAAAGTCTTGGAAAGAGGTCGCCAAAGAACTTGCAAACAAGGTGCGAAAACACAGTCGCCTTAGAAAAAGGGACTGTAGAAAAAGACGCTTAAAAAAAAGGAGTATGCGTTTTGGATTGCACCCTTAAGAGGCTCCTTAAGGGTGAATTCTTTTCGCCCTTTCCATGATGGAAATCCTCCGCGCAAAATTTGATTTATTTCACAATTTCCTTGTTGACTCAGGTAAATGTGAAGGTGAGATAATTGATGATAAATAGTCAGTTATTGGTTACCCAGCTCGAGTGCGTTAATCATTAAAGGGCTTCAGTTTTCTTCAGTTCCCTGGGGGCGTTTTTTACTATTCATTTTATTCAATAGTTATTTCAATATGCCATTGTACCTTAAGTGTGAGCCTTTTGACAAGTACTGAAAGAAAGTGTCTCGTTTCAAAATTTGAAAAAAACATGCATAGCAGAAAGTATTTAGTTTAAACAATCATATCTGCGTGGTGTGAGGCTCTGAACGGTCTCGTTTGAGCTTAAAATTCATAAATTGTGGTTCAACAAAATATTACAACCATTTTGAAGGCCCTTTGACCGGCATAACTGGCTGAGGTAGTCTCAAATACTATTCAAGAGCACAAATTGAAAAACAGAAAGATTAAAAAGGATACAAGTGATTATCCATTGAGTTAAATGACATATTTTTATCAATAACATATTTCATTATATGCTCTATCCAGTATAACCATAAAAGTTATTCAATTTAGTCTTCATTTAATTCAGACTTCATACCATCTAATGCCGGAAGAGAGTCTTCGGTTTAACAAGTTGTTTCATGCGAAGCACACAAAGCTAAGACCTTAAGAAAAGTCAAAAGTAACAACAGGGTTAAACATTTTTATTATCCCTCAGTTATTATCATCTCTCAGTTAGTATGTGCACTATGATTAGTCAAGTTAGCATTACGATTGGTCAATTTAGCACCCTTGACCATAAATCCAGGAAATACCTACATGGTACAAGGTCCGCAACTTACACTACTGACTTTAAACTCCATCACTAAAAGGTATGAATTGGCGTGGGTCAACAGATACATCATGAAATTGCAAGCACCCGCCACCCTTGGAGGCAGCATAGACATTTGCAGTCTTTATGTAAACACCTCTCCCGCCCCTCCTCATCCCCCCTTCACCTTACACTCCCAGGATGCCTATGGTTGCTATTAGTGATATGGACCTTGACTAGAAGCAAAGAGCAGGTTGGACTCTGATTTCAGGTGAACTCATTTCTTCAGTCCATACTACAAATGGGAATCCTGTGTAAAAGATAATAAGTCTTTCATTTTTAAATGATTGGATTTCTTTAAAAGAAAGTTCAGTACTGCCACTTTTGTATAAAATTTGATGATTGGATGCCTTGAAAAGCATAGATAAAATTATCTGAAGAAGGCTTTTGAACAAAGACATAAAGAAACCCAGATTAAATTATTTTAATTTAAAATATTAATTGTTTTTTTAAATTCATAATATAAAACCTTTATAAGTAACGACCTCTGGCACTATAGGTATTAGATAGTATAGATAGAAAAAGAGGATTTAATGTTTTGTAAGAGTCATAGTGAAAACTTTTACGAAAAAAAAACAACAACAACAACAACAACAGCAGTAAAAACAATTCAAATTTATCTTTGTTAATGCTCTATTTCTGGTCTGATCGATCCCTTCAGGCCTGTAGGGGATCCTTTACAGGCCTGAATTTTTTTCTCGGTCTTATTTTCAATACTGCTGAGGCAGTGCTCATTACTGCAAAGATTGCTTCCATATTCATTTATTTATCCACAGTTCCCATATGAGATTTTCATATATTTATAGTCAGTTAATAATGATTGAATTGCCAGTAATCGGATCCTCATGTTTGGGCTCAGATTTCTGGGATCGCCATGGGGCAAACATTGCAACTCCCTTGAAAGAAATGTATGGCAAAACGTAGATTCAAGGTCCAAAAAAGTGATTTTGGAGAGAGATTATCGCTTTATCACCCCAGTTTTATTATGAACGAATAAAGATAATGTTGAAACGAGGAAAGTGTAAGTATTCATTAGATTCGACGGGTAAGACAACAGGAGTATAGGCGAAGCTGTTCGGACAGACCTTTGACATAAGGTAAAACCGCAGTAGCTTTGGCGGGTTCGGCACTGTTGTTTGGTTTTCCGTGTGACGATAGGTTTTCGCGCCCAAACTGGAAAACTGAATCTTCGCGGACGGCACAATAACAACTGGGGGAAGTAACTCTGTAGAGACGACTTGGCAGCGAGAACGGAAACTCGTCACGATTTCCTGGCACACGGAGATCTACTTCGA